ATATAAGTCCTTGACAACTGGTAAAAAATGAGATGCTTTCGAAGCGACTGAGTGAAAGAAGGGCTGTGTATGTATGTGTGTGCGTATAGGAACCCTGTGAGGGAGGATAAAACACGGCAACGCACGCGATATCGTGCGCTAATCGCGCCCAAACCGTGCGCGAATTGAGCGCAATTGTCTCAAAAAAAATAGAAATAAAACGAGAGAACAACAGATAGCTAATACCCGATCAACCACATGTGTATGTATGTGTGTTTAGGTGATAGTGTGCATATGCATAAATGATAAATTACTGAGCGTTTTATTACCGCTTCTTGCTGGATTTAAAGGACGCAAGGGTGGGGGCGGGGGAGAGGGGTAAGGGCAGTACGGTAAAAGATGACCCGAATGTAAGTTACAACAAAAGAATAAAGGAAAATGATGCTCTAACCGACACAAATTCGTGAACGAGAGGGGTGAGTGGGAAGCGGATTTAGAAAGCCGCTAATTCGTTATCCCGTGTGATGGCTTGCTGTTGCATAGCCGCTTCCTGGATGTCCATATCAACCAACGTGCGATCTTCTTCGTCGACTTCCGATTCGGAATCGGATGCATCGTGGTCAACGACGTTACCAAGTGGTGATGGACCTAATGATGACGTCAGCGGTGATGGTCCTGAGGATGCTGAAATAATAGGTAGGTCTGATACAGATGCTCCTTGCTTATTAATAGCCCTATCTGGAAATTCTTCGCATATTTTGATCCAAAAAATGAAAAAATATCAATTTGAAGTGTTAAAAAGGTGTAAAGCAATAAAAACAAGCATAGAAGCTTTTAAATCCTTTCTTTAAATGTAAATATACTTTTATAAACTCACTTCGATCACCATGCTCCTCTGACATTGTATCGGTTGGATCATATGTCGAATACATGCACTTCTTCTTTCGTTTACAAAATTTGCACCATTGATCGGTGTTCGCAATTCCGAAACGGGCACGACATTTCTTCATGTCGGTCACATCTGAAAACCGCAAACTCTTCATATCACACCCACACACATACAAACCCATAATGTCGTTTCCAAAACGTCGCAAATTAATCGCCCCCCTCTTTTATGGCCGACGTGTGTTCTCTTCTCTTTTGACAACCAGAACTGATGAACCGCAAACCGATACACCATACACTAACACTTTTTATGGTCACTATCAAAGCGGTAAAATCGGATCGTTACTTCAGAAGTGTTGCACTTTTGATATTAGCAATCATTATTTATGGCATTTAAACCAATGGATATTTCAATAAAACAGATTTCTCCACTCTCCTTAATGTTTTAGAGAAAAATGCTTTAGTCTTAAATGTAGAAAAGGATGTTTTCATAGCTCAACCTACTACATGTCAGCATTCAGACAAAACTTCCAACTTATGATATACAGTTCCAAAAAACTTTTAAAATATATCCCTATAAATATATCCCTAAAATACTCGTTTATTCACCACAACTTTATTGAACTTGGTATAAATATTATTAAGTTAAAAAACAACCTTATTGCTTCCTTCTGTAAGCTTAGTGTATTTGGCAAACAAACACTAGCAAAAGATTCTATAATCAATTTCTTTGGGCACAATATTTAGTAAAGTTATCCCTCTACTTCGTGCTCCTCACTAAGCACTAAAATCTTCTTTTTACAAAAGAATAATGTTTATTTGGTACATCATGTCCTATTTTCGACTGGATGAAAGTAAGGACAAGTTTCTACCGTAATCATATGAAAAGGTGTAAAAAATATGAAAATTTTAGCTTTTTGCTAAGCTTAAACCAAGGCGTTTTCATTTATGCAATTCTAGTCATACACGGTAGGAAGAGTTCTCTGATTTCTACAAGAACTATAATCTTATGATAGACTGTTCTACTATGTATAGAAAAGAACAACTCTAACTCAGTTCTTAAAAAATAAATATAATGCTCGTATCGAGCAAGATAAGCATTACATCATACGCAGAATTTTCTCATCCTCATTTTATCAGATATATGAATTTAGAATATCTGTCTTACTGTGCACCTTTACAGATATTCTTTTGAGTGACTCTAACTTAAAATTCAATAACCATGAAAAGTCTAAGAAATTAGCTCATGACAGTTCTCAGTAACCAAAGATTATGTACATTTACAAAAACAGCTATTAACTCCTCCCTTTTTCTTTAAAGTTCTTCCTCTTATCTCCGAAAAAAGTCCCTCCGAAACACAATCTGTTATCGCTATCTCTCCAGCGAACACGAGAACTACCGTAGCCTTTGCTTGTGAGCAATGTTTATTTAACAGCAGTCGAGAGAGTGAGCGAAGTTAAACGCAATCGGCCGCTCTCTCTCTTTTCCGCTCTTGGCGCCGGTGTACTGTACGATGCTAATAATGACGATCGCTTAGCGTCAAATGCACACAGAACTAGACACGGCCGACACTTGAACGCAACGATGCCGCTTCTCAACGCGGCCTATCATCACTCAATAGCTCTCTTTCAGCAAAAAAAAGTTGAACAATCAGCTATCGAGAAGGAGATGTTGATAGATTTGAGGATTAGGGGAATCCGTACCTTCACTCTTATCGCGTCGCTTCTTCTTACGCTTGTGGACGGCGTAGTTCTCGCGCGCCGACCATCCAGGATATTTTGCTTTGTGCTGTTCACGATCCAAACGGGCCATGTCGAAGTACCTGCAAAAGGAAAACTC